GGTGTGTTGTCGTCCATATAAATACACGGAATTAGACTCTGTGTGTTTCCCGCTACGTAAAGAGTGGGGCGTTATAAGTTAGAAGCCTTTGTCTGTGCATCTGAGCGTCTGTAGCTCCCAAACGTATGGACTGATATCAAAGTAGCTTTTTTATTTGAAGGTTGGTTTAATCGGTATGGTTAAATGTTTGCTAAACATCTATTCTTTTAGGATATGAAACTATGTTTTCGGATCTAAATCGCGTATATTTTGATGAAGCACTCAATACCTATTCATCTGTTTAAAGGCCATCAGTTCGTTTGCTAATTAGCCAGTTGAAAACATTCCAGAAAATACTCCAGTCTCTCGCAAAGAATATAACATCTAAAATAGTTAGTCTATTATAAAATAGGTGTATATTACCTTGTGTTCAGAAAATAAACCTTTATTATTATTCATTCTGCTAAGTAAATACTTATTTTATTTACACTTCTTCGAGCGACTTGAAATTTTGTTTAAAATATAAATCCAGTGAATTTACTGATAATGAACCAGGAAAATGGTCGGTCTCGGAATATAATAACACCCTTTTTTATCAAACGATAATTTGTTGTTATTGTATTGGTATCAAACAGTAGTATTTAGAAAGATGGAGATGAAAATCTGATGATGGAGCGGGAAATGAATTTAACAAATGGGCCTCTAGAGTTGGCTTACAGAAGCTGATTTCATTGAAGTTTTGTAGTAGGTCTTGTATCTGGTTTTTTAAATTTTAATTTAAGTTTTTATTTATCATCATGATCATCCACAGCTTGATTTCACCCACTGCTGGGTGTAAGCCTCACGAAGTTTGTGCCATCCAACACGGTCCTGTGCTAGCCGCATCCATTTCTCGTCCTGTTTTGCCTATTCTCGGCCACCAATCAGTCGATGTCTTGCTCCACCTGTCATCACCTTGCCTTGCTATGTGTCCCGCCTAGTCCTATTTGAGTTATATGATCCGAGTTGCAGTATCCCGAATTTTCGTCCATCGTCGGATCTCAACGTTCGGAACTCGGTCTACAAGGCTGATGCATGGAGTGCGCCGAGCATGGCGCACTCCATGGCCCTCTGCGCAACTCTCAACCTGTATACAGTCTACTGCGTCCATGTCTCGGCACCATACGTCATCGCGGGTAGAATACACTGATTAAACAAGCGGGTGTTCAGTGTACAGACACTGTGGAGCCTTATCTGATTTAAGGATGTCATCTAACGTGCCAAACGCAGCCCATCCCAGCTGGATTATTTTGGAGATCTCCTTAGGCTGATACTTTTTACCAAAGGATAGTACATGTCCGAGATAGACGTACTGATCGACTATCTCCAGCTTCTCATTACCCTGCGTGACAGTGGTATAGTTTAAAAGGTTTTTATTACCTAAATTTTTTTAAACATCGAAAATAAATATATACGCTTTTGTATCTAAAAAGGGATATGGCGTATGGTATCGTCACAGTCATCGTGAGGTATGGTTTTATACCGCTTACATTTAAAAACAGGATGTACTCTTAAAACAAATTAGCGACCCGTTTAATGTCATCACAAGGGCCTCATTAAAAAACCACCTACATCCTTTTCCCAAAGCGGCACTTCGGTATTTTCATTAAATAAACAATTGAAAAGGTACAATTAGCAACAGAGTAAAAGGCAAGTTGAGCGAGGGTCTTTCTACAATAATTAAATATTTATGAAACGAGCGTTTCACACACATGATTAAGGTTTTTTATAACATAATTACATCATCAACAATATAAAATTACATTATCAATTGGTCCTTTGAACTACGTAACTCCAGAACAATAGGCTGTTTTTTGTATTAACCTGATCTTAACTCAATTTTAACAATTCGAACAAATTGATGAATCGATTTTTTTGTAATAGTACAATAAATGATATTTATTTTAGTGAATATTATTATCAATACATAGGTAGTAGCCGTAGAGCTCCTTGTCAAAGAGTTCGTCCAGGGAAGTACTGCCTTACGTATTTCTGCCGCCAAGCAGTAAAGTCAGCATTACTGTTTTCCGGTTTTGAAGGGTAAGGGTGCTGGTGAAATTATAAGCACATGGGTCTTGTCAACTTTTGTCTCAGGGTGACAGGCGCAGTGGCAGTGCCCTTTAGATCTCTGCGATTTGAAAGCTCTGAGTAGCACTGCAACTGTAAATGTTTTGTGTGATTTTTTTTGTAATAAATGAAATGAAAAATGTATGAAAAATTAACAAATACAAAGTAAAATTTCTTTGATTCGAATTGACTCTAACCACTAGGCAATCGGCACAGGTACGGATTTGTGTCGGTAATAGTACAAATTATGGTTGTTTTAATGATATACATTAGATATATAATATATAGATATATAATATCGTAATGATTCTTTCGATGTCTGATTGCTAAAAGAGGCTAAATGACAATTAAGTAGATAATCTCAGTACAGAGTACCAAAAAACCCGACCTCAAAAGTTCGTGGTAATTGCCAAGTTTTATTAGATCGGTTACCGGAAAGAGCACCCGAAACCCGATTCATCCTCTAGTTAGACACCCTTAGAGGTCGAATATTTTCTTTAAATTTAAATAGGACCACTAAATTTATTTATAATTTAAGAAGATCTAACACATACCACAAAATTTTTTCGAGATATTTTTCTTATGATACCAAGCCACTCGTTCGTATGTCATCAATCAAATCATGCGTCTGGTGGTAAGAGTAACTCCTGTCCATAACTATAATATTTTGTGAAATATATTCCATGTAGAAAATTCTGAATAACCTTCAATAACTAAATAACATGCCGGAGGTAAAGTTGTTAGGTTCTATTACCGTTGTCAGTTAATTTATTTAGAACTTTGTACGTGTCACAGTCTGGTTGGTAAATGCAGACAGGTTAAAATTGTAGATTTGAACGTTTGAATTTTCTGCTCTCAAAATACGCAAGTTACGTGCGTTATTTTTATATTTATTCATTTATTTGGTAGCATCAACAAGTGATACGCTTAATATTAAAAAAAACGATTATGTTATTCAAATGGAGTAGTGCTAAATTATTGATCCAGTTGACGATCTCGGTGGCCTAACGGTTTTGTATTGTGGGTACTGGATGCAGAGGTCCCTGAACTAAACTTTTCTAAATTGGTTCTGTTCTCGGTCTTCTGGGAAGTGCCCCGGAATTCCGTTGCTCTGGTACTCATAGTACAATGAATTCCCTAGTTTGAGACCAGGCAATGGTGTTGTCTGACATAAATTACTTGACAAGGTTGCCACAACATGCAACAGTCAAACTTTACTAGTAGTAGAGCTCAATGTGAGAGAGTTCGTCCAGGGAAGTACTGTCACCTTACCTACTTCTGTCGTCAAGCAGTAAAGTGAGCATTACTGGGTCCCGGCTTAGAAGGTTAAGGGTGCTGGTGAAATTACAGGCCCATGAGACTTGTCAACTTATGTTTCAGGATGACGGGCGCAGTGACAGTGACCATGAGGTATTTGCGATTTAGAGCTCTGAATGCCACTGCAACTGATATGGATAGGCGTGTCGCTTACCGCAGGTAGGCGCACGCTTATTGTTGTATTATAAAAAACACAACTAGTTATTTATATTCATATACTGTAACATAGTTATTCGCCTTTAATTACATATAATACAATAATATAACATAGGATTATATGCATATAGAAAACAATGATAAACTTTCAAAAAGGAAGAAAAACATTAATTCGAGTACGACGTTAACAACACGAGTGTTTTCTGTGTTCTACGACTCTAATTAAAATGCGTTACAAAAGAAGACCTGACATAGCACAGTTACAACTCAATTACAGTTATTTGGAGGGAGCATGCCAAAAAAGTTTTGGCTTTGACTCCGCCCAAATTTGTGAAACAAATATATGCCTGAAGTTCGCGT